TATTAGTTGGAGACTTTAATTGCTGGCTTGACCCTCAGCTGGACCGTTCCTCCCCCAGAGCTTGCGCTCCATCGAAGTCGGCTAAGGTAATCCAGTCCTTTATGGAGGAATTTGCTGTCACTGACGTCTGGCGCTTTTTTAACCCTTCTAAGAGGGAATATTCATTTTTTTCCCATGTCCATCACACTTTCACCCGCATTGACTATTTTTTGGTTGATAATAGACTGCTCTCATCGGTATCTACTTGTAAATATGATGCTATTGTTATTTCTTATCACGCCCCAATTTCTATGAATATATGCTTTAAGAACTTTAATTCTAGGTATGCGCCATGGCGTCTTAATACACGCTTACTTTTAAATGATAATTTTGTTAACTTTGTCTCACAACAAATTGATTTCTTTGTGAGCCTAAATAAAACACCCGATGTGTCTGCCTCAGTACTATGGGAGGCCTTAAAGGCATACATCAGGGGGGAGATAATCTCCTACACAGTATATGAAAAGAAACTTAGAAAGGAGAAATTAACTAAGCTGACACAACGCATATCTGAACTTGACAGGTTGTACGCTACTTACAAAACTCCAGAGCTATATAAAGAGCACCTCTGTCTACAGGCAGAATTCGATGCTCTGACGACACAACGTACTACTGAACTTCTCCTACAAACAAGGTCCCAGTTCTACGAACACGGAGATAAGGCCAGCAAATTGTTAGCACACCAATTACGTCAGGCATCAACATCTCATCTTATCCCACAAATTCATACTAACTCGCGTAACACCACTGAACCCATGGAAATTAATAATGTGTTTAAGGAATTTTACATGTCTCTCTATTCATCTGATCAAGATGTCACTCCTGATTTTGACATTTTTTTTGAAAATTTGGACATTCCCTCGCTCGATCAATCAGCTGCGGAAGAGTTAGAGAGGCCAATCACTATTGCTGAACTTAATACGGCTGCATCATCTCTGCATAATGGGAAAAGTCCTGGGCCAGATGGCTTTCCCTCCGAATTTTTAAGAAGTTTTGGCACAAGCTCGCCCCTTTATTATTAGATATGTTCAATGAATCATTTGAATCGGGCCGCCTTCCTCAAACTCTAAATCAAGCCTCCATTTCCCTTCTCCTAAAAAAAGGCAAGGACCCGTTAGCCTGCTCCTCTTATCGTCCAATAAGTTTATTGAATGTTGATTTTAAATTGTTATCCAAACTATTAGCACTATGCCTGGAATCCTTCCTTCCTTCTATCATTTCCTTGGACCAAACTGGGTTCATTCGAAATAGGCACTCTTTCTCTAACCTTAGACGTTTGTTCAATGTACTTTACAATGTCTCCTCTTCCAACGCCCACGAAGCCGTAATATTGTTAGACGCTGAAAATGCATTTGATAGAGTTGAGTGTGATTACCTCTTCTATGCCTTGGAGAAATTTGGTTTTAAGAATAATTTTATTTCATGGATTAAGTTGCTTTATTCGGCCCCTCAAGCTTCAGTCAGGACGAATAATATCCAATCAGAATATTTTCGCCTCTATCGCTCTACTAGACAGGGCTGCCCTTTGAGCCCCCTATCATTCGCGATCGCTATTGAACCTCTTTCGATAGCCCTTCGGTCTAACCCCTTTATTACAGGCATATTTAGAAATGATACTCAGCTGAGAGTTTCCCTTTATGCAGACAACCTCCTTTTATATGTTTCCAATCTGCCTGTCTCAGTTCCCGCTGTTCTTGCGACCCTTCATTCATTTGGTAAAATATCTGGATACAAATTAAATTTAAACAAAAGTGAGATATTTTCCATTAACCCCACTGATGAGATGTATCCCCTGGAAAATTTCCCCTTTAAAGTTGCCCATGATAGTTTTATATATCTTGGAGTCCATGTTACACACAAATTTGAAGACCTCTACAAAGCTAACTTTGCCCCCCTATTGACCCGAATACAGAAAGACTTTGAACGATGGTCTCTGCTTAATCTGTCTTTGATTGCACGTGTCAACTCTGTTAAATTGAATATACTCCCAAGGCTCTCCTACTTGTTCCAGTGCATACCACTCCTCCTCCCTCAGTCCTTTTTCCGTAAACTAGATAGCCTGATTTCAGAATTCATCTGGAATAAGAAAGTTCCTAGGCTGCGCAAACAATATTTGCAAAGACCGAAGTCACTGGGAGGGCTGGGTCTGCCTAATCTTAGGTTCTATTATTGGGCCACCAGTATCAGAATTCTTAAGTACTGGCTTCAATATGAGGCTTTTGATCCTCCCCCAGCATGGCTGGTTATGGAGGCAAGTTCAGCAAATCCAGTCTCCCTGAAAGCCTTAGTGCACTCCCCTATCCACTCCTCCTCTTTTCCCTACACCAAAAATGTTATTGTTAAGACCTCACTTAGGATCTGGGTCCAGTTTAAGCGCTACTTTGGCCTACAGACTTTCTCTATTTATGCACCACTAGCAGCTAACCATGCTTTTCCTCCTTCCCTCATAGACAGTGTTTTCTTAAGGTGGACAAATTTCGGTATTCATAACTTTAAAGACCTGTATATTAATAATGTCTTTGCTTCTTTTCAGCAACTTTCAGATAAATTCTCACTTCCTAAGCAACATTTCTTTAGATATTTACAAGTCCGCAGCTTTGTTCATGACACATTTCCTAGTTTTCCTAATTTGCCCTGTGACTCAGCTTTGGATAGTTTCCTGACACCAATCCCTACTCTTAAAGGCTCTATCTCATATGTCTATAATCAAATTAATCTTTTACATTCAGAGCCCCTAGGCTTAATAAAGTCACTCTGGGAGGAGGACCTGGGGGTCGCGATATCAGAGGAAGTCCGGACAGAGATCTTGAGACTGGTACATAAATCTTCTATTTGTGCAAGACACAGTCTTATTCAGTGCAAAGTTGTACACCGTACCTACTATACTAAGGCTCGACTGGCTAAGATTTATGATGGTGTAACTCCAACTTGTGATAGATGTCAGCAATCTCCTGCAAACTTAATACACACGCTTTGGAATTGTCCATCCCTATATAATTATTGGACTGAGATTTTTAATACCCTGTCAGAGGTAGTTGGGGAAAAAATAAAGCCAAATGCTCTGAGTGCACTATTTGGGGTTGCCCCCCCTTCCCTCACTAAGTCTAAAAAGGATGTACTTGCTTTTGCTACCCTGCTAGCCAGAAGATTAATTGTAATTAATTGGAAATCAACAATACCGCCCTGTCACGTCCGCTGGATTAGAGACACCCTTTATTTTCTTAAGCTGGAGAAAATCAGGGTCTTCAGTCTTTAACTGGCTGCTCTAGTAAATTTGGGAAATTATGGGGCCCATTCCTTCAATTCGTTAAGAAGACAGATCTTCCACTCACCCCTGACTGACACGACTGAAGCTGCTTAGAGAGACTTGTAGATATTATGTTTCGGTTGTGATGAGGGTTATATGCCGCTACTCTGACTTGGGATGTCTATTGCTATCTCTATTGCAGTTTACTGTTACCTGACTGATGTGCCTGTGTTCCTCTTATCTCTTTTATTTATTTATTCATTTTTATTTTTTTTATTTACTTTTTATCCTTTTATTTTTTGTAATTGTCTATTTCTGTCCTAGTCCTACTTTTTAATTAATCTATTTAATTATTTTTATTGTGGTTGTTCTAAGTTTTATATAAATTGTTCGGATATGCAGCGATACTTCAGTGACCACTTTCTTTTTCTGTTGTTTTTCTTAAAAGGAAAAAATGTATACTTAACTCTTTGTAAATGTCTTAATACAATTATATACATCTGCAAAACCCAATAAAAAAAGTTGAAAAAAAAACAAAAAAAAACCAAACAAACAAAAAAACACCTAAAAGCGACACATTCTCACTCTGACGTCGTCACAAATTGACGTTTGGTCATGGACTTTACACATCCAGATACGATGTGCAAGGTACCCTGGGTGTGTTGGTTGTTGACGTTCTGGGACGCCGTATCAAGTTCTGCATTGTATGCATTGTCTTCTTTCAAGATACACTTCCGTTTTCACAGGAAATTTATGTCCGTACAACACCGCAAATTGACGTTTTTCTTTTCCTTCAACAAAAGAACGGGGGTGAAGCCAAACACCGTTCATCTGCACACACTGTGATGCCACACAGCTGGTTCAGTATCAGCAAAGTTTCCCTTTATATTCATTGTGTTGTGTGGCGATCAGCAGTGATGTTGTGGTTCACTTTTACACTGTGGTCTGTAGCCTATAGTTCGGCTTTAGCTTCTAACTATCTTTGTCTTTTTAACCTGTTGTTGCTGCTGAGTCAGTTTGACATCCTGGATATATCCTTCAAACACAGACTGTAGACCCCTCTGTCTGCTTCTCTTTGACATCACTGTTTCATTTTTCCAAAAAGGGAGTGCAGTTAGTTACAGTGTGGGCTCCATGCTTTCTCTGACAGCTTGTCGGATCATCACAAAGGGGCGGGGCTTAGAGAAAGGTCAATTTGCCAACAAATAAAAAAGCAGATTGATCATTTACTTGTAAATAGAATCACTAAATACAATCCAGACATGGTAACTTTTGCTTCTTATTACCACTTGTGTGTTTTGTTGGGATTAAGGTAGTGTAATGATGTTGCACTGAGCTCTGTGTCAAACAGTGTCCCTTCCTGACCTCTCACCAAATGCATGCTGGAATAGGCTCCAATGCTTCAAAGCCCTGAACAGAATAAGTGGTTGAGAAAATGGATGAATGACTGACACTAACATGAATGCATTTCAAATGATGATGGAGACGGTGATGGTACGCTCATCGAAGTTATTGGATCCTGTTTAGTGATATTTTACCTCGCATGCATGAATTTTCTCACTTTCACAGACAAAAATGAAAATAAAATGAAATGCAGATTTGTTGTTGATAGATGGTGGATTAGTCATCTGTTTGATGTCCAGGACTCTTCCTGATCTCTTGGCACTGTGCAGGTGTAATGCAGTTTTTTCCCCAATTCGGACGGCTTTTTTACCTGCGACTGGCTCCTCTTCCTCCGACTCTCTTTCTGTGCGCTCGGAGATACTGAAGTCAGAGGACGTCTCGTTGTCATACAGGCTTTCACCCTGCCCTGAGCCGCTCTCCTCCTCCCCACCCAGCGACCAGGGTGAAGCCGAGGTTACCGTAGGAATGGTTGGCGTCGCTGTGCTTCCAACCTCCGAGGTCATGGCACTGCCGCTCTCGCTTTCAAAATAGAATGCTGAGGAGCGTTCGTCCAAATCATCCGGGGACTGGCCAGACTCAGAAGTCGTAGACGGGGGGACGACATTAGTGACTTTGGTTGAGTAAGGGAACGCGCTCTCTCCTGAGGCTGAGTTTTGAACCCTGTCCCACTCCTGATCTACGCCCTCCTGGGAGTCAGGGAACAGGGCCGAGCCGGAGGCACTGCTGCTAGTGTCTAACGCATGTCCTTCTGGGGTGGGGGTGAAAGGGGAGGCTGTGGGTGAGTTAGGGAGGACAGAGGTTTGGAGGGTGGAGGTCCTGTCTGATGCTGAGAACCAGGGATCCATGACGGCAGACGCCGTGGCTGCAACAGAAACGGGCAGGTCACTATGGGTGACTTGGAGAAGGTAGGAGTGTAAAGAGGACGATGAGGGAGAAATAGCACTATAGGAGAGCAGAGGCTGGTCTGAGGACAGACCATCAGAACCCGCCACAGACAGAGAGCGTAGAAGATCGTCTACACCGACACCAGAGGCTGAAAGGGAGCCCACACTAGAGTAAAGCTCTAAGCTAGCAGAGTCCCAGGCTGAGGACGGCAGGGGTACATGAGGAGAGGCATGCAGCCAGGACGAGGACGCCGACGGCTCCAGAGAACAGCCGCACATGGGGTCCATGTCACTAGCTAACGGAAACCCATCACCGCTGACTTCAGGGAGAAAAGACTCTATTGTGCTCCCCGTGGCGTACCTTGCGTCCTCAAACCCAACTGAGAAAGGACGGGATAAGCCCGGAGTTGTGCCAGAGAGGGTGAAGTCACTAGAGAGGAGAACTGAAGGCTGAAGTGTGGGGCTTAGAGACAGAGAGACTGCTGAGAGTGACGGATCCCAGGAGGATTCGGAAGGCTCGGCGGCGACGGTGGTGCTAGATGGATCTGGCACCGTTTGGAGAGGAGGGGTATCGGTAAACACTGAGGGGACACCTGAGGAGACCGACGAAGATGAAGACCCAGATAACAAATCACCATCGCTATCATCGAACCCAACACTGGGGAACACGGGGTCAGTCTCCCAACCAGACAGGGGGTGTGAAGGGTGGGGGAGGTGGGGCAGGGTGGAGGCAGAGAGTGTGGGGGTTGAAGGAGAAGCCAGGTCTTTGCTAGACAGCGGAGTGCTAGCGGCATGCTCAGAGTCCGATGCGTAGGCAGACAACACAGGCCAAGACGAGGAGGGAGGGTCATGCAGGCAGGTGGAGGGGTCCGCAGTGTCACACAGAGGGGAGGAGGAGGAAGAAGAGGAGGTGGAGGGGAGGACAGAGGGACGCTCACCGTTAGACAGCGGCTGTGTGGTCTGCAAGAGAACGCCACTCAACCGGACAGAGGTCGTGGTAGACGAAAAACGAGGCATGCTGGGAGTTGTGGGCCTACGCTCAACAGCTTCACCCGAGGAGGAAGGTTGGGTGGTTGAAGTTTGGATCTCTGGAAGACCTCCAGGTGCGGCAGACACACCTCCATCTGTGGTGTCTTTGTTTAAGGGTCGCCCCAGGCCTTGGTCAACCTCAGCCTGGATGAAGGATGAGGATGTTGTTGTGCTGCTCATGTCGCTGGTGCCAGACCTCAGTGTGGTCGTGGTGGGGCTGTACGAAGAAATACTTTTACCACCTTTTGTCTCTGCGTTGTTGGATGTAGGAGCAGTGGTACTGACACCACCTTTTGTTTTGTCAAAGTTATCCTCTGAGTCTGGACTGATTCCTCCAGGAGCACCATCTGTCTTTGCATTGGAGTACACAGGAGTACTGGAAGTGGAAATAAAGCCTTCATTGGTGGTGGTTGTGGAGTAAAAGGGAGCATTGCCACTGAAGTCAGCATCTCCTCTGGTTTTTGGTTGCAGGGTGACCTCTGGTGGACGTGTGGAGGAACTGCGGTGTACTGTCTCTTCAGAATGACTCTGGACTTGACCAGTCTGGGTGGATCTGACCGGAGGAACTGGATCAGTTGTGGTCAAACCTGATTCTTCTGTTGTGGTTTTGATGCCAGGTAGACGTAAAAGAGGTGATGCAGGAGTCGTGGTCTTCGGGGAGTTTGTGGGCATCCAGGCCAGATCATAATCCTCAGTTTGGACTGGTTCATTCCAGGACAGATCGGGATCATAGTTGTCCTGTGGGTGAGAAAGAGGTCAATGGACAGTTGTAAATAACAGTGATAGTTCTGAAGAAACAGTTATTACGTTTACATGCACAAAATATTACAGTTTCTGCCCTTATTCTGAGAAAGACAATATTCCTACTATGCTGTTTACATGACCAATAAGAATGAATATTCCATTAATACTGTTGTTTACATGCAGCTGTGCATTCTCGGATTAACATGCCCTCACACACTTGTTTCCAATCTGGGTGTCCCGATCCCCACCAGGGTTTGCCAAAGATTTAATGTGGGTTCAGAGGCCTTCTTGATTTAAACTTTGAAATTATATATACAGCAAGCCTCCGTCTCACTATTTCATTCATTTGTGTGAAGAAAACCAAATGAAATTGTCATTTTTAAAGTTCAGATTATTATTCAAGATATACATTTTACAAAAGGGCACAGAGAAGACCTGAACACATCTATATTCACACAGCCTTCACTCTGCTAATCAGTCTCGTCCTGCATTCGACGAGTACGCAGTTCAAACAACCAAACAACCGATGGATCCATGTTTTCATGTTGAATATTGTCTTTTTTGAAATAAGGTTAGAAACCAGAATATTTTGTGCATGTAAACAATCAACGACATGCAGTGTTGGAAGAATAAGTTTCCTCACCTCGTCATCAAATTCATCAGAATCTGGATCCAGTGTATTTTCTGGAAAAAGGCACAGTTTGGATCATTAGTTACACAAATATGTCAAAACAAGAACTAAAACAACTCTTTGAAAATATCAGTCTCATGGAATACAGAATTTAACTCGACCCTACTTTGATTTTTAAATTTCTCTGAGTTGTTTTTATGTTGGTGTTAATTTCCTGAGGTTAAAAATGTGCGTAAACCAAGAAGCAGAGACGTGACAAAGGGTAAAACAATTTGAAAACAGTGTGATGAGAACATCACAGAGAGGAAAAGGCAAACCCCTGGAACGCTGTGTTTCTGGATGTTTCAGAAAAATGAAAAGACAAAGTTCCTGTTCAGTTACGTTTACTGTAAACCTAAAACACTGCATAATCTCCATAATAAAATCTGAAAGTGAATGTGCTCTTGGTGGATGTAAATGTGTGAAATGACAGCAGGAGACAAAGAGGGAAAGGTTGCAGATGTCACTTCAAGCAGTATGTTGGCTCCATGATAAACACAAAATCACATGATGACAAACGCTTGCATGCAACACAGCAGACATATTCGCACTTTCATGCATGGATTCCCCCAAAGACACAAGCAAACACGGAAAACCTTTAACAAAAAGCATTTGCAATTAATCATTTTTCTTTCTGTTTCATCCTTCCTGTAAAACAAGACGAGCCAAGAAAAGTAATTTGAACTCTCAGCTACTTTCCTCTGATTGTCTGAACTTTTTGATATTCAAACTCCACCCGTCTGTCACCTGAGAGGGATAAAACAAACTCACAAAAAGAGTTATTTGCAAATGCCACTGAGCTCAGACGCACAGCACACAGCGGGCATGTCAGGGGGCAGGTGGTGGTGTGGCTCTTACCTGTCTGAGGCTAAGTCACACATCATGGAGACCAGATCAAACTGGTTTGTGAAGCATGAGGTGAGGTTTTACAAGTTTAATGAACTGGGTTTGAAGGAGATGACTCGGGTTTGGCACAAAGGGATGTAAGTGGCTAAAACCAACTTTAAGTTATCAATGGAAAACTCTTGTTGAGGTATATTTGATTAATTAAATCAAAATAAAAGAAAAAACATTTAATTTGATTAGTTGATCAACAGAAGGTTAATTAATTGTTTTAGTCAACTGTCAAATAAAAACAACAAACATCTATAGCTTCAAAATGTTAGAGCTTCAATAATCTGCATGCTCTCCTTTAAAAATTATGCCACTAAAACCTTTTAAAATTAAATGATTTGAAATGAGTTTGAAATATTGTAATCAATTTTTTGGCCCTTGTAAATAGTGACAGTTATTTTAATTCACTTTAAGCACTGACATTTCATAGTTGAAAAAAAAGGCTTGATAAAGTAACTGATAAAAACAATCTAAGTGGCTCTCTGAAATTGATTTGATGTTATGTGAGGTCACAGTGACCTTGACCTTTGACCACCAAATTGTTATCAGTTCATTCTTGAGTCCAAGTGGATGTTTGTGCCAAATTTGATGAAATTCCCTTTAGGCCTTCTTAAGATATCGTGTTCGCGTGAATGAAACAGATGCAAGGTCACACTGACCTTGACATTTGACCATCAAACTCTTATCAGTTCATTGCTGAGTCCAAGAAGATATTTGTGCCAAATTTGAAGACATTCCCTAAAGGTGTTTTCGAGATACGCCATTCACAAGAATGCAGAGGACGAGGTCACACTGACCTTGATGTTTGGCGTTTGATCACCAACTTCTAATCATTTTATCCTTGACTCAAAGTGGACATTTGTGCCAAAATTGAAGAAATTTCTTTGAGTTGTTTTTAAGATATTTTGTTAACAAGAATGAGACGGATTAGGTCACAGTGACCTTTGACCACCAAAAATGTAATCAGTTCAATGTTAAGTTCAAGTGGACATTTGTGCCAAAATTAAGAAAATTCCCTCAAGACATAGATGGATGGCTATCGTGAAAATAATAAATTTAAAATATAAATATTGGCACTGTACATGGTATAGCTAACCATTTCAATATAAATATAATAGTATAATAAAATATATATATATATATTTTGTTAATTAATATTATTTATAAAATTAAAGTTACACCTCTTTGGGCTCATTATTCAAACTACATCTGAAAATAATGTATTCAACACTTATTAACTTAGAAGTAATATTCAAATTAGACTGAGTCATATTCAAATACAGTAATAAATAACTTCATGCTAGCCTCTGAAGAATTATACTAATTGAAATAAGTAACCTAAAGGAATAGTAGATATTAATTGCAATTTATGATTTATCATGATTAATGATGCAAACAATTTCAAGAAATTATGTTATATAAAAAATTTATGTTGTACATGAATTACTTTATCGATAAATGTCCAAAGATAATTACCAGAACCCGATGTGATGTCTTAAAATTGATTAAATGTCTAACAAGCAAATGTGAGGTGTTTTTTACATTTGAATATTTAATAATCAATCAACAATATCACAGATTTAATTTTCTGTTGATCAACTAATGGTTTAATCTTCTAATAATTACAGCTGTAGACATAGCTAGCATTAGTGTTAAGCTAGCCGAAATGTAGCACTACGCTAACGTGATAATCTGCTCAAAATAGCAAAAGCGTTTGTATTAGTTACTATCATGCAATGTTTCACTTGTCATTTCACAAAAGGACTTTCATGGAAACAGTTGTGACATTTAAAGGTGCAGCTAAAATGGGACTGTAACGTTAGCTTAGCCAACATGGTGCAGACAATGGTGACACAAAAAGATTTGGTGATGTAAACCTACTAGATGTTGCAGAATATCACCCACTCATGCAAGCTGACACTGAAATAGGATGCAATGGCTTTTTTCTTTGTCACAAGACATATTAGTTTATTTAATATAAAGTTCAGTTGAAATACAAAGTTACTATGATTATAATTTCAGTCCATGTTACACACATGCAAACATTTCTCTTACTGTGAGAGGCAGATGGAGCGAATGCCACACAGTGACAACAAAACAAAGATGGCGACTTTGGAAATGACCCCAAACCAAGCATGTTCATCTTAGAGATATAGAAATATATAGAGAAAGCACATCTGAAGAGTACACACAGAGAAACATGTACAACTGTTAAACACGTAGAAAAAGACGAGTCAAACAACAGCACTGCGTGTGTGCGATTAAATCCCAACAAAACACAGAATATATACCCCAGAGTGAAGGGCAAGGAGGGTGAGTGAGATAAAGAGGATGAAAACTAAAATATATATATTGGTTGTTTCATTCAGGGTTCAGAGGGAGGAAGAGTGGGAGGATGGAAATGTTTCTAAAAAAAAAAGAAGAAATGTGGCCAGTAAAGAAAAAGTCAGAAGTTTACTGCACCACTAACACAAACCCATATCAGAAATATCTCCTGTAAGTTTAACCAGTAGATTTGTTCCCTCATGATTCAATAATTTAGGGTCTGTTTTTCACTTTTGATATTAGCAATGCTAGCGGCCTCCGCATGATTCCAGTCTTTGGCTTACAGGTTGTCAGTCAAGGTGTAAATTTAAAAACTTTTAGTTATCTGGCATTTCTGTTGTTTAATATGAAGGCCCATTTCTGACAGTAAAATTAAAAAAGTTCAGCAAGAAATGAGTAAAAATACTCAGTAAATCAAAATTTATAACTGCGGTAAATAACTAAGTCAAAATTCTGACTTAACAACACAAAAATATAACATTCAGTGTCTTTCTTTAAAACATAGTGGATGGTAAGCCATAAGTATGAGATAAAAAGACCAAATGTTCACAAAGTTTTGAAAAATTCTTAATATACTTGTAATAGATTTTTTTTTTAGATATCAAATTAAATAGCAAGTCATATTAAACTGTCAAAATTTTGACTAATAATTTTTAAAAGATTTAAAAACTTGACTCAAAACTTTGTATCTTATGAACCTGACTTACTATTTCTGAAGTTTGACTCAGTATTTCATTAATTTGACTAAATATTAATCTTCTTTTTTTCCTGTCAGGAATGGGTTTCCATAGATTTTAGTCGTCCTCTTTAATCTTTTTTAAGTCTTAATGTTGCGATTTAAGAAGCCAGAGAACTAGTTTTCAGTTCTTCAACGTAAAAAAAAGCAGTGTAATAAGAAATATCTGTACAGTTCATCTGCCGAACTCTACGCTCAGTCTTGGGCACGGTCGCTCTTACCGGGGTCATCTATGGGCATGTCGACCGGCAGCTGGTCGCTCACACGTCCGTACAGACCATTGGTGCAGACTGCCACCACCTGGACCATGTAGCTGGTGTTGGCTAACAGGTCATCGAGTATCGCCCCCTGGTGGAAGGAGAATGAATGACACCCACTTTGAAGAACCACTGACCCAATGACACCATCAACTTCAGGCAGATTTTTTCTAGAGTTGGTTGGAGCTAACTTCTACAAGCATCAACTTGTAAGGACTTGAAATTTGTGAGATCAGTGAGAGGCGAGGCCAGGCTCTGACCATAAACTAGAATAACTGACAGCTTACAAGCAGCACAACATGAGGAGCTGTTGATGTGATCACGATGCATGGTAATCAATAAAAAACTGTACAAAATCCAGAGAAGGAAACATCCCTTCAAGCATGGAGCTCATAATCTGGATATAGAAATTTGGTCGAAGCTCTGTCCTTTAACAAAGTGGCAGATGGTTTTGCACAGAAACTAGTGAGACAAAAATATCTGGTCTAAAGAAAGCTCAGTGTGTTACTGAGCATCTGTGGTTGAAACTTTTGTCGGGCTTTACGATCAATGCTTAACACGCCTTTAGATTTTCAGTGAATAACTTCATTACAGCTGCTAACTAAGGCCTCACAAAGCTGGCAGACCGGTGGCTTTGAATGGAGACATTATCACAAACTTTGAGGAGATCATTTTTGATATTATGAGCTTGTGGACTCTTCCTCTCACCACATCCTGGTCCCCGTCAGTCAGGTATATAGAAGCAGCAGTGTCTTCTGCATCGGCCTTTCGGTAGCTGACAGAGTATTTTTCTATGCTGGCGTCATACACCGCCCGGGGCCGCTCCCACGTCACCAGCAGGCTGCTCAGGTTGTAGGGCAACGCCTGGATGTTTTCCGGCTCCGAACTGCAAACTGACAGAGGGAGACAGGCGAAAACAAATAAATTAATTTAAAAAAGGTAATAAAAAATATAATCCTTTAAATTCCAAATTTTTGTGCTGATCAATTTTACTCCCACTGCCATGAGTACCTGCTCACTAGGGCTGCAATGGCATGACATTTTCATAGTACAATGAGATATCGTTCATGATTGAAAATGAAACCTTTGACCATCGAATTCTAATCAGTTCATCACTGAGTGGACATTTGTGCCAAAACTGAAGAAACTCCCTTAAGGTGTCCTTGACATACAGTGTTCATGAGGATGCAACGGACACGATCACAGTGACCTTGATGTTTGACCTTTGATCACCAAGTTCTGATCAGTTCATCCTTGACTCAAAGTGGATGTTTGTGCCAAAACTGAAGAAATGTGGATGTTTTCCAACACTGAACTGCACACTGACAGAGGGAGACAGACAAGAACAAACTTAAAAAAAGCTTATAAAAAATAATCCTTTAAATTCCAAATTTTTGCGCTGACCAATTTCACTCCCAGAGTCACGAGTACCTGCTGAGGTAAGGCTGACTAAGGTTACAACGGTACGAAATTTTCACAGTATGATATGATTACGATATGCTATGATATGATACGAAATCAATCAATCAATCAATCAATCAATCAACTTTATTTATAAAGCCCAATATCACAAATCACAATTTGCCTCACAGGGCTTTACAGCATACGACATCCCTCTGTCCTTATGACCCTCGCAGCGGATAAGGAAAAACTCCCCAAAAAAACCCCTTTAACGGGGAAAAAAAACGGTAGAAACCTCAGGAAGAGCAACTGAGGAGGGATCCCTCTTCCAGGACGGACAGACGTGCAATAGATGTCGTACAGAACAGATCAGCATAATAAATTAACAGTAATCCATATGACACAATGAGACAGAGAGAGAGAGAGAGAGAGAGAGAGAGAGAGAGAGAGAGAGAGAGATGCAGGTAATGACAGTAGCTTACAACAACATTATTGAAAGTAATAATATTATAGTTATAGTTCTGGCTACTGTGGTACAATATGTTGAAAGTATGTATTAATATCTGGCAGTATACATGTGTGACAATAGTCATATGTGTATAATAACAGTAGAAGTATGACTAATGACTAATGATGGCAGCAGCAGCAGGAGGCATCTGGCAGGACCACGGCAGCAGCACAACCACACACGTCACGCTGTCCAGGCACCGCTGCGATATGAGTTAATCTGAGAGACAGTGGAGCACAAAGGCTCCGGAGAAGAAGCCGAGTTAGTGACATCCAGAATGGCCGAGTTAGCAAGATGCAGTAATAGGATGAGAGTGAGAGAGAGAGAGAGAGAGAGAGAGAGAGAGAGAGAGAGGGAGAGAGAGGGAGCCCGGTGTATTATAGGGGGTCCTCCGGCAGACTAGGCCTAAGTCAGCCTAACTAGGGGCTGGTACAGGGCAAGCCTGAGCCAGCCCTAACTATAAGCTTTATCAAAGAGGAAAGTCTTAAGTCTAGTCTTAAATGTGGAGACGGTGTCTGCCTCCCGGACCGTAACAGGAAGATGATTCCACAGGAGAGGAGCCTGATAGCTGAAGGCTCTGGCTCCTGATCTACTTTTGGAGACTTTAGGGACCACGAGTAACCCTGCGTTCTCAGAGCGCAGTGTTCTGGTGGGATAATATGGCACTATGAGCTCTCTAAGATATGACGGAGCTTGACCATTTAGAGCTTTATAAGTTAACAGTAGGATTTTAAATTCAATTCTGGATTTTACAGGGAGCCAGTGCAGAGAAGCTAAAACAGGAGAAATATGATCTCGTTTCTTAGTTCCTGTTAGTACACGTGCTGCTGCATTCTGAATTAGCTGGAGAGTTTTTAAGGACTTACTAGAGCTACCTGATAATAGAGAGTTACAGTAATCCAGCCTTGAGGTAACAAAAGCGTGGACCAATTTTTCTGCATCTTTTCGGGTCAGGATAGGCCTAATTTTCGCAATATTACGCAGATGAAAAAATGCAGTCCGTGAGGTTTGCTTTAAATGAGAATTAAAAGACAAATCTTGATCAAATATTACTCCGAGGTTTCTTACGGTAGTGCTAGAGGCCAGAGCAATGCCATCTAGAGAAACTATGTCATCAGATAAAGAGTCTCTGAGTTGTTTGGGGCCAAGAACAATAACTTCAGTTTTGTCTGAATTTAACATCAGGAAATTGGTGCTCATCCAATTTTTTATGTCTTTAAGGCAGTTATGGAGTTTAGTTAATTGATTACTTTCTTCTGGCTTCATCGATAAATACAACTGTGTATCATCCGCATAACAATGGAAATTTATAGAGTGATTTCTAATGATGTTACCTAAAGGAAGCATATATAGAGTAAATAGGATTGGTCCGAGCACAGAACCTTGCGGAACTCCAAAACAAACTTTGGTACGTAAGGATGATTCATTACGAACGTCAACAAATTGAAAACGATCAGATAAATAAGATTTAAACCAGCTTAGTGCTGAACCTTTTAGGCCAATTAAGTGATCCAGTCTCTGCAGTAGAATTTGATGGTCAATTGTGTCAAACGCCGCACTAAGATCTAATAAAACAAGAACAGAGACGAGTCCTTTGTCTGAAGCAATCAGAAGGTCATTTGTAATTTTAACTAGAGCTGTCTCAGTGCTATGATGCACTCTAAATCCTGACTGAAATTCCTCAAATAAATTATTATCCTGGAGAAAATCACACAGCTGGTCTGCGACTACTTTCTCAAGGATCTTTGACATAAAGGGAAGATTAGATATTGGTCTATAGTTGGCTAACACCTCTGGATCCAGGGTGGGCTTTTTTAGGAGAGGTTTAATTACAGCTACCTTAAAAGACTGTGGTACATAGCCTGTTAATAGGGATATATTGATCATATCTAATATATGAGTGTTAACTAAAGGAAAGACCTCCTTAAGTAGCCTAGTTGGGATGGGGTCTAAGAGACACGTTGATGATTTAGATGAAGAAATCACTGCGGTCAATTCTTGAAGAGAAATTGGGGAGAAGCAATCTAAATATATATTAGATTCTACAGCTGTGTTTGAGGTTAGATAGGTAGGCCTACCATCTGAGGGCAGGAGGTCATGAATTTTGCCTCTAATAGTTAGAATTTTGTCATTAAAAAAGCTCATAAAATCATTACTGCTAAGGGCTAAAGGAATACAAGGCTCAATAGAGCTTTGACTCTCAGTCAGCCTGGCTACAGTGCTGAAAAGAAACCTGGGGTTGTTCTTGTTTTCTTCTATTAATGCTGAGTAATTGTTTGCTCTGGCATTGCGGAGGCCCCTCTTATAAGTTTTGAGACTGTCTGTCCAGATTAAACGAGATTCTTCCAGTTTGGTCAATCGCCAATTCCTTTCAAATTTTCGCGATATTTGAAACAATATGGTATGATACGATAAAATACAATATGATACTGTACGGTACGATTCGGTAAGATACAATACAATATGATAACCTTTATTGTCGCTGCAGGGAAATTTGTCTCAGGAGCTGCACAAGTATTGCTGCCTTGTAATAATAGTCCGAAGAAATTAAAAGCATACACCATAAACACATTAGAACACATACTACACAACAGTATTACACATCAGCCATTCATGTTTTGCACATAACACCAGCACACGACAGAGCACCATCAGCAAAACACAACCCCTAAAGCATCAAGCAACATTATTTAAGGTCTTAACTGAGGGTGGCAGAAATAAATTTTACAGCAATTATCTTGGCTTCATAGAAACATGGTGTTATAGACTTATCATTATTATTATTATCAGTCACAATGACCCTGAAAGGAACAAAAACTGAAGGTGTTTTTTGGGGGGTTGAAAAAATGTTTTATTAGTTAAATTAAAACTTGACACCATTTCTTTTTAATAGAGGTATAAAATTGAAATAACTAAAATAAAGGTTTGATTCTCCATCCAGTTGCTTTTTTCCCCACCGTAGATAAGCAAATGTACACACTATGGTAACTGTTAATTTTCATACTATGTTACACCTTGAAACCAACATACTGCTGAATCCCTGCTGACACAGTTAAAGTTTTACCCAAAAAACCTGGGTAGGAAAGTGATCCATTATTCTACTTTGGATTCATCTCCCTCCTTAAATATATATACCATCTCAATGGGGTGTAATCTTCACAGACTTTTCACAATTCTGCAAAAGTAAATAGATATTCTTTTCATTAGAAATGAGTCTGTACTGATTGAAATAACAACAACAACAACAATAATATTAACAATAATAATAATAATAATAATAATAATGATGATGATGTTTTACGTGGTTGAACCAGGAATAAAAACATGTGAGGACTGCAATGAAATAAAATCAGATTCATTTTAAAAGATACATTTTGAGAGTGATTCTGCCAGCCTCATATCTTTCAAGGAATTATATATAAAATCTATATTGATCAATAAAACCATATAACAGAAGTCCGATGATGTTGATGGGGTTCTTGATGTTGTTCCTTCCTGTGTTTTTAAGAGTGTCCTTCACACAGTGATTCTGGGTCAGAGTTGAGATTAGAGGAGCAGATGACAGACACTCTGAGGTCTGGATTAACCCAGATTAAAAATGGCTGAGGGAGGATGATAATAGACAAACAATGACACATTTCCTCCTCTAATGGCTCGGAGCTGAACCTCTGCTCTCACTGACCTCTGACCTTTGTCCTCTCTGAGGGATCAAAGTGAAAATGTCACGCCTGTGTGTGTGTCAGAGCTGCTGTAGAGCCGATAAAATCTGACGTGTACACATGTGATAAACTGTATTTTACTACAAATCAGATACGTATGGTCCCCACCCAGGAAAATACAGGGACAAACACTGTGAGCAGGACATCTGAGGCTGTCCAGTTTAACCACCAGAGGGCAGAGTGAGCCAGGAGAACATGTGTGAACGTGACATGAGGATCTATTCACCTGTTGATCTGTTCACTGTGGTAAAGTACCAACGTTACCAGGGCCGTAGCCATCATTTCAGAAGTGAGGGGGACAAATTGTTCAGAGGTCTATGGAGTGATTTATCATCCTCTCGCATTCAGTTGCACCACTCCTTAGCGGCTACAGAGCCACATAACACAGCCACAGTACAGCACCAGGGACCGACTTTAGCTCTTTAAAATGATATACTATCAAATTGTAAAGTTTTAGCTGCCAAACTCTGGTTGTGTTGACACAGAATGACCCTCGAGCATCTACAGGGTAAGTAGCCAGATAACTAAGTGCCAAATGACAACACTGAACATGAAAAGTTCAGTAAAACACTTTTCCTGTTAGCAAGTTATTAGCACACAAAATGGAATAGAAGTGACAAGGTAACAGGGTAATAAGCCACATAAATAAACATTTATTTAATGTGTATGTGCCTGGCTGGTGGTAACAGCTGTAAAATGTGCAGGGGACGGAGGGCACAGATACGGTAAGTGCGGGGGACATGTCCCACGCGTACCCGCGACTGCTACACCCATGAATGTTACGTCTCTAACACCTGTGTGACACTCTGATTATGGGCCGTTCAACAGCACTGATGAGTACCCATAATGAAATATCACCATAACGTTAAATTAAAATGAAAATCTGACAGAAAAACTGGAGTTTATCCTCAAAAACAGACTCGAATGTAAAAAGTCCATGAGAAGTAGTCAAACTATAGTCTGCACAGAGAGTGTGTCAGTGGTTTCGTTTTTAACCTCTCTAACTCCGCCAGGACACTGACGTCCTCGCTCCCCCCCTCCTCTGTTAAATGGTATCTCCCAGGCGCACTACGTCATCAACCCACGTGATGTTTGGTATTGCCGGATTCAGGAAGCTCTCGACTTTTCAAAAATAACATTGTTTTTCTTTTATTTATTATGTATTTCGCACCAGAGCAGCCTAAACACACAAAGTCCAAAATCATGATGAGTGGTGACAAGTCATGTCATGCTGTTTTTCGACGGGAAAAGTTAAAGGACTTAGCTGTTTTATAAAAGGTAAGAGTCTCACTTCTACCACTATTTTTGGCTGAGATATACCGTCTAGAAAGTGGGATCATAACTTTCACGTTTCATATGGCTTTATTTGGTGATATTTTATGGTGTTTCTGTGTCATAAACAACATCAGCTATCATAATCACACCTGATTTCAATAAGGTACAATGTTAGAGTGACCGACTTGTCTTTTGGAGCTCCGCCTGGATCTTTTCATGGTAAAAACACTGTAGAATGGTCATACTTTGAGCAGTCTTCTTCAAATTTGAAACAAGTGTTCATTGATAGTGTGCCTACAGCCCCACAGTGTCATTTACCTGCTCAGATGAAGCCACAGACAGTTATTCATCCTGAAACACATTTTTTATTTTATTTTAGGTAAAATCTTCAACTTATAACTGACTTCAGAGGCCCATTACTCTGTCTCTGTATCACCTAGAGTGTTTCTGACACTTTCACAAGAAACTCCAGGGAGTTTTCTTTCTGGCAAGACCTCATGCATGCATGTAGTCAGAGCGGTTCAGAAGCTACAGTCATTTTAATTTGGGTATGTCATTTTAGGCGTTTTTGCTCCAAAATGGGGGTGGAGTACAAGAGTTAATCTATGCTGTGAACGGTGATGCTAAAAGAGAACTGCTGGCTATGTAACAAACTCAGTGCTCTGTACTGCTTCCTGTGCCTGTCAAAATAAAACAGAGATGGTGGTTCCCATGAGGATAAGCCAGTTTTTCAACTTCTTGTTTCCATGTTGGATTGTTTTATACAAATGTAGAGGTCATTTTGATCCTCCATAATACGGAGTAATAAAATGTTCCTTATGCAGTATGTATTCACATTAAATCTAACAACTCATCGCTGCAATATTCTGTGGCATTATTCAGCTGTGCAATATTTCAGTACACAACTTTATTCTCACTAACACCTCTTAAATGTTTATATTTATTCAACATACAATTCACATAGCTGTATATATGTCTTATGTTTACTCTCATTCTATTCTTATTTTATTGTATTGATGTAGTCTGAGGTGGAAATCAATAACTGAGGTATTTGACGACTTTGGAATCAGAGCAGGTTGGATTTAAATCTCCGATAAACTGGATTTAGCTTACGCGACACCGGCTGCTTATGTGGCATGTGGCTGTATTTAAAAAGTTTTTTTTTTTTTCCAAAATATGTTTTAAATCTCATAGGAGTGAAAGCTGTTTGATTGCCTTGAGTACTGTGGGAGTGGCTGTTTTTTTTTGTTTGTTTTTTACAAGATTAAAATATTCAGACAGGTGCAAAATTGTACAGGATTTTGTAGGAAATACCTTATGTGCACCATTGTTTTATCACCAGGGAGGAAGGTTTAATTTTTTACAGTTAACTGCATCATGAGGTGTGCAGGAGACAACTTTAAAGACACTCATACCACAGCGTAAAAACATTCTATTCAAAATTTTACTTAACCCTTTGAAACCTGGAGCAAAATCACTTTTCTTGTGCTGCTTTTAGACTCCTTTCACAAGAATTTAAACCTTTGAACCTTCCAGCACACAGGCGCAATTTCTTTCAAAAACATGGGGGGAAAGGCAAGGAGCAACTTGGTCAGAAATGTTTTACAAATTGCAAAAAATTTATAGATTTAGATGTTTTTTTAAAGTCAGTTCTTGGTTTGTTTTTTGTTATTAACTTTATTTTTTTTCCTTCTTTTAAACTAATTTTCTTGTTTTTAATTTTTTTTTTTAACTAATTTTTACTTTTTTTGGGGGCCATTTCTTCTTTCGTTGCTCATTGCCTTCTTCCCATGTTTTGTTATTTTAAAAAAAGAAAAAAGCCAATTTGCTCAGGTTTCAAAGGGTTTAGCAAAAGTACTTTGCATTAACATCAAAATACACTTAAAGTACCAAAAGTAAAAGTACTTATTATGCAGAATGGCCCATTTCATACTATTATATATCATATTATTGGCTGCATTAATGTGTTCATCACTTTAATGTTGCAGCTGATAAAGGTAGAACTCATTTTACTGACTTACATACGGCTGGGTGGATTAATCTATCAACATTTATTAGCTGATTATATATTATATTTTGTATTAATAATCTGATTCTGCAAAGATAAAGTTATCAAGTAGTGCAGTAAAAGGAGCAATATTTCCCTCTGAGATGTGGAGTAGAAGTTTAAAGTAGCATAAAATGGAAATACTCAAGTAAAGTACAAGTACCTCAAAACTACAAGTACAAAAATAGAGATAAAAATCTGAGAGTGTGACTGCATCAACGGTTCTGAGCTGTGAACAAACACCAACAGTCTCCTGGTCTCTAACGTCAGAACAAACTCCCAAAAACCACAGATCAATGTCACCTCATTACTCATCATCGAATGTAACCAGCGTGGAAATCGATGGTTAACCAAGTTGACCTCCTCTCGCTGTCACTGAGATTTTATTTGGGTCACTGAAGTTCTATTCTCGTCCCTCTGTCATTTGTGATCCACTTAGACTCTGTTTAATTAGCATTAACGTGGGATTCTTCATACTCTGGGTCACACTGAGGTCTGGAACCAGACAGCCAGATCTATCTTTACATATTTCCTTTATTTTTTTCATGTTTTCCATTTTAAAAATTTCTATTTTATTTTACATCTCCAGATTGTTGCACTGTGTTTATTATTATAAACCAAACCTCTAAGACAGATTATGTTATCTGCGAACCTACTTGACAACAAAACTGTTTGTTATTCTTACTCCAGTGAGCAGAGACTGTTTTTAAAACTGTCCTTGATGGTGCATTCAGGGACACTCAGATGTTTGTGAGCTGTCTTGGTGGAAATAGAAATCCATAAAAGAATCAACAAAACTGTATTTATCAAACTGATAAAAGAAATGTGGTGTTTTCTTCCACTGCAAATGTTACATAGCTGGTTATCAAGTAGCTCTCAAGTATATAGAATATCCCAGTGACCCTGAACGCACCAAAAGGTATTTTTTAGAACGGCATGATAACGTGGCACTTGCAGACTGTGAAATTAATGTTAGTGCAGGATATCTGGATGCGTACCTGGTGTGAGGACCTCCTCTGTGCCGGTGTAGGAGGAGAACACCTGACCCATGAACTGCTGCTGCTGCTCTCTGTAGTTGTTCTGCAGGTAGTCCATCAGCATCACGTATCCGGCCTGCTGCATAGTCATCACCTCGCAGAACATCTCCAGCTGCAACAAATCATATTAACAGCGTGAGCACCGTCACCTCCTTTCCAGCGAAAAAACAAACAAACTAGAATCACTGCCCCGTGGTTGTGCGCCTCCATGAACCAGTCAAGTTGCAGTTACAGTCTCCATCCATGTCAGTGAAAACATGGATGCTTCACACACAGAAGATCTATACAATCAGCACAGTTTCACGATTGGAGTCACCAATTCAGTATCTGACCAAATGTCTCCCCTTCTGTTCCTGAGATATGACGCTGATTAATGGACAGGAAAGTGTTTTATGTAGAACATTATGATGTAACAGTGAAGTATCACCCCGAGACTAACAGCTCTGTAAACAGGTCTGCAGAGCCGGGGCTTTTGTTGGACACAATATGGAACCTCACTGGCCAATCATCATGTTTTCCTGGGCCCAAAAGTACAACCATACTGGCAGGAGATTGCAGCTGAGAGTCATAAGATAATTGAGATGGATTAAGTCTATTAATTTGCTACATTATTCTTCAGGAAAATACCTGAAACTGTCCCAGATAAAGATTTATTGAGGATACTTTTGGCAAGTAGCCTGAAAAGCCCGGTCTCACTCTGAAGTCACTGAAATCCAGCGCTTGGGCAGTGACTTGCTGCATCAGAAACCAACGACAAAGGCGTCCTTTCACGTTGGCATGATACACAGCCAGTTGCTGTTATAGTTAAAGAGCGTCCAGCGGCCTCAGGGGGAAACGTGGCAGGACAAGGACAAAAGTTAAGGCAATGAAAGTCAGAGTTAGTGGTGGATGGGTCCAACACCAACTTTCACCCAAGAGAGCTGTGTTTGCATCCCATAAGATTCTAAAACCAAACCCTGTTATTTTTTCCTAAACCTGACCACGTGTTTTTGTTGTGGAAGGAAAAAAATGTCAATTTGAGGTGTTGTACCAGCATAGTGCTTTCACTTACTTAAGATACTGTATGTAAACATTAAATTTCCTGTGAAAATGTAAGTGTATTTTGAAAGAAGACAACTTGACACAGCGTCCCAGAACGTCAACAACCAACACACCTAGGGTACCTTGCACATCATACGTGGACGTGGAAAGTTCATGACCAAGCACGTCAATATGTGACGAGGTCGGAGTGAGGATGTGTTGGCAGGAAAGCTATAACTCGCAAATGGTTGCAAGTTGACCCTCCAACATGGGCACAATGGCTGGGATTGTAAATGAAATTTACTGTATAGAAAGATTTGCTTTTATTTTAAGGCTTGAGATGTACAAAATATTGGGAGAAATGGACTCTTTATAAACGCCACTGAGAAAAGTTTGACACTGTAAACCAGGATGAAAGTGAGAAATGTGCTGTGATTTGACCTTGTAACGACCTCATGTTCTCCATCCATACATTTTCATTTTCATCCACTTATCCGGGGCTGGGTCGCAGGGGCAGCAGGCCAAGCAAAGCATCCCAGACGTCCCTCTCCCCAGCAACACTTCCCAGCTCCTCCTGGAGGACCCCGAGGTGTTCCCAGACCAGATGAGATATATAATCCCTCCAGTGTGTTCTGGGTCTGCCCCGGGGCCTCCTACCAGTGGGACGTGCCCTAAACACGTTTAACAGGAGGCGCCCAGGAGGATCCTGATCAGATGCCTGAACCACTTCAACTAACCAATTTCGACACGTAGGAGCAGCGGCTCTACTCCGAGCTCCTCACCCTACCTCTAAGGCTGAGCCCAGACAACTCATTTCGACCGCTTGTATCTGTGACCTCATTTTTTCTGTGACTACCCAGAGCTCATGACCATAGGTGAGGGTTGGGACGTAGATGGACCAGTAAAGAGTTACGAAAACATTAGTTAAATTACTTTCCAGTTTGTTGTTGCAGGAGATTTGAGAACTAATTGATCTAGCGCTTGAAATATTCATTAGATTATTTTGTCTGATCCATGTTCAAAAAGTGTACAACAATATAAAACAGAGAAAAGCAGCAAATCCTCACATTAGAGAAACTGCAACCACAAAATGTTTAGAGTTTTTGATTGATGAATGAATAACGTGATTAAATGATTATCAAATTGGCTGTCAATTATTTCATGTCCATCATCGAAGGGATTAATCTACTGATTATTTCCAGCATTAAATCAATTAGTTCTCTAATTCTCTGCAACAACAAATTGGAAAGTAATTCAACTCAATTTTTCAACACTACAACAATAAAACAAAGTGTAAATCATCCGCAGCACACAGCGTCAGCTCTCTGAGCAGTTTGGAAGTGAATGGGCGTAAAGGAGCCGTCCTTTAATCTGCAGGCTGCCTCCGTACCTGCTCAGGTGAGTCACTTCCCCTCCGGTTACACAACACTGACTCACACAAAGTCAACACTGCAGCACAGCCGCACTCTGAGGCCATTAAGGCCAGTTGTGGTTGTTAAAGTCATGACTTTAAAGAATTAAAGTCTGGCAGACAACCTGGGCTGGAATGTGGACTGGCTGAGACACATCACTGAGGTCTGGAGAAACCTGGAAGACCTGCAGCAGGATAACCCACACAAGCTGCCTCAACTCTCAAAGCCAATTCTTTCTCTGTGATGGAGCAGTTACTTGTATTTATATATTTTCAGGTATCTGACAATAGTGAAGGGAAATAAATAGCTAAAATTAGAGAATAAAATAGAAGCAAAAAGGAAATAGAGTCTGTTTCTGGTCATCAACATTCATACCAAACATGAATAATGTCTCCCAAACTTTAAATACGTGTGAGATCAAGAGTGGCGACCATCACCATAAGTGTGAGGTGCCGTATCATGTGCAGAAGGAAGGGAGCATCTACTCATGGCTCCTGCTTGTCACAGCGTGAGATGTTAACCTTAATGGCGTCCTTCTCTGCTGTCACATTTATTTAGTGTTGTTATGTGAGCTGGTTGGTGGGTGTAAGAAGAAAATAGTTCTTACATGAAACTGTTCACAACAAGATCTGTGGATTATCTTGAGTAACTGGGTCATGATTTCTGCAAAGAGACACTGATGTTGAGTTTTTTAAATGTATTTTGTTGCTTTGAGCACCACAAGCTGAGTGACATCTAGTTAAATTATCTTGGAGAGAAGGCTGACATCTCTACAGCTAATATCTCCAACACTCAATAACTCACACCAAAACAATTAAGCTACAGGTAAGGGGACAAATAGATATTTTTTTATTTTGGGGTGAACTGTCCCTTTAAGATTTACATTTGGTTGTGGTCACACACTGTCATCCGTCACCTGTTTAGTTCCCTGAATAATTAAAGGTCCCACATTGCAAAGACTCAGATTTCCATGTCTTATCAAAATGCTTTTAAGTCCATATTCAGAAACTGTGCTTTGAAATGAGCTGTGAGAACCTCTGGGAAACTGTGATGTCACAACTATACTCTATAAAACTAGAAAGTGCTTCTACAGTGCCGCGTTACACACACTCCCCCAGCTGCAGTGACCACTCACTGACCAATCAGAGCAGGCTTAGCCAACAAACACCGACTTTCACCCCGGAGAGCGGCGTTCACATCCGGTAAGATTCTAAAGCCAAACCCTGTTCATTTACCTAAACCCGACCACATGCGTTAGTTGTTGGAGGGTAATAAAATCTACGGGGTGCTTTTATTTTGAAAGAGACTGTATGTAAACGTTAAAACGGTAGTGTATTTTGAAAACAGACAATGCATGTAACAGGCTGAAGTTGACACGCGTTCCAGAACGTCAACAACCAAAACACCCAGGGTACCTTGGATGTTATATCTGGACGTGGAAAGTCCATGACCAAACGTCAATGTGTGATGAGGTCACAGTGAGGATGTGTTGTTTTGGCTGTGCAGGAGAGGGATTGTGATGTGTTGCGTGAGTTAACACAATGCACAAAACAGTGTGGCGTCTGCATAGCTTAAGGTTTATCACAAGTACAGATTTACAAACGTGTGTGTGTGTGTGTGTGTGTGTGTGTGAGGCCTCCTGCCTTCTGACAGCTGTGTGTTCAGAGTGAATAAATCTGGTGGAAAATGACGTCTGAGCCTCAGCAGGCGTCACACCAGACCCTTTCTATTGAAACGCTTTTGTCAGTGTGTTTCCACATGTTTGTACAAGTCTCTCTCTCTCTCTCTCTCTCTGTGTGTGTGTGTGTGTGTGTGTGTGTGTGTGTGTGTGTGTGTGTGACATTGCCCCAGGCTGAGAGTGATTGACAGCCGTACAGAAGTGGTCATTACATCAAACAAATATCAGCTCACAAAAGATCTTTACGGTATTTACGCTGAATGACATGGACACACACACACACACACACACACACACACAGTGTTGACAGCCTGCTGTCTCGCTGCCTCACCCATCACTTGAGTGTTTTCTGAGCTCTGGTATGATAATTCCTTCTTTCAGCTCCTTGTTTTTCTAAACGCTTATTTACAGACGTTTCTGTATTTGTGTCTTTTCATCTTCAACAAAAGGCCCAGAGCTGACGTCTGCTCCTTAAAGGACCACACCGGTGGTTTAACACGTGTTTTTAGCCAATGATCAACGAGATGCTCACACACCTTACACCAATGCTTTTACATTTTTTAATTTGCCCCATTAGTTTTTAGATTAATTACCTTCCATTACCTCAAGTTTCAGTTAATGTCTATGAAAACAAAGATGAAGCTTATCAGACATAATTCTGGAGGTAACCCATCCTGTGTAAAGCTCAGAGGAACGCTTGCTGGCTCAGTTCATTTACAGTTGATAGATGGTTTGTAAGTTTTCTTTTCCAACACGTGCTCTGGTGTGAAAACACTTTGCACTCGTAGAGACATTGCAGGATCCCATACAGTGGTGGGAGAACATTTTACTTATGCTGCGGGGTAGCTTGGGAGTGTTCCCGGGATAAATAAAGTTTCATCTTATTCTTTAAAATAAAACATCATAATGTATTTGTAAAATAGATCTATATTATTAAACAGAATCTCCAAAATCATTTTAGTTGTCGAGTAAATGTTGTGGAGTACAATGTACAGTATTTGCAGGAGAAGTAAAAAGTTGCAGTAATTTGGAAATAAAATACAATTACCTCAGAACTGTATTTAAGTACAGCACAGTACTAAATGTATGTAGTTATTTTCCAACACTAACATCACAATTTATCTGAGGTTGCACCACCTACCCTGAAATAAAGAGTGCCTCCGCTCATCACTGAAAATGCTTTCCCACTTTTATGATGTTATTGAGATTCAATAAGATTGAGATTCATTCTGTCCTGCCTATAGTTTTAGTTTTGCTTTTAAATGTCCCACAGTATTTGCCACGTAAAATTACTGCTCTTACTGCTCTACTCTCAGCAGTTAATTGTGCAGGAACACCTGACTTTTACATCCATGTTACTCCCAAAACACACCTTTGATTAATTAAAGGACCAAATACAACCCCTTTGCCCCCTGCACCTGACTTTGCACCCAGATTATCAGATGGATTGTTTAGAGAGCACCCTTAAAGTTCGGATCATAATCTCTCTAAAGGTTCTGGTGCCCCATCTCTCACCTGTTCGTCAGAGATGGCCACTGTGTTCTTGAAGACGATCCACTCGACGGTCTCGCTGCAGGGCGGCGTGGTCAGAGAGCCGTTGTAGATGAAGTACTTATCTGTGGAGTTTGGCAGGAGGCCTCGCGGAGCGAAGGGTATAGCCTCGGCGCTCTTTCCTGGACGGCAGATGAGACAGCTTTAGAAAGCACAACAGAAGAAGAGGCGAGACAGGAGAGAGAAGAAGAAACAGACGTACCATGTCTGCTCACGCTGTTGATGCTGTCTATGATGGGAGCAAAGTTCACATTGTCTTCAATGCTCGTCTGTGAAGAAAAAAACCAACATAATTACCTCATATCGAGTCTAATTTCCTACTGATGAATGGAAACTGTTCATAATTAAACACCCTGTAGAGTTTGACACAGACCAGGCTTAACATGTCACAGTAGGACATATTAAAAATCACATAACAAAGACATCTGTTCACCGTGGAGGCATGTGAGAAACGTAAATTATATTATGATCACTTCACAGGCCTTTACTGTGAAACTTCATATAATAATGTCATACTCAGAATTTTATTGTGAAATTCATGCAGAGACGTGGCTATTAAAGGAAACATCTGTGATTTTTTTTTTTTCATGCTGTGTCATTGTGAGCTCTCGTCCTGACCAGTTCTGACCGGCCCTGACTGACTCAGCCAAAGTCAGTGTTTAGAAAGTGTTTTTCGGAGTGATAGTGCATTGTTGTTGTTTTTGTGTTATTTGATTGTTTAACCAAACAGCTTTAGTTGTAGATTCTGTTGTCATGTGTATGTTACTGTGGCCAGAGTGAGGAGATAACGTTAGCATACAGAGATAACGTTACGCGAGTGATTAACCTTACTCAACGTACGTTTAAGTGCACGATTTTTTAAAAACAAGTTCAAACAGAATTAGGTTTAAGTGTTAATTTTGATCAGTTAATCAGTAACTTGACATTAGCTGTCCCGTGGGAAAAAAACTGGACCTTCATTTTGAAAGTTTGGGCCACAGTCACTAACCAAAAGTCCGTCTCAAGAACTGTCGTCTGTGGCAAGTGTAACATTAACTTTAACTTTATGAGGACTGTACTGCTATACTTACATCACCAGCGACATAGCAACAAGCTAAAAGTCATTTTCAGTGAAAGCCAGTGACATAAAGCTACAAACTGACAGCCGACACTTGCCACCCTGCTACAAATACTGGTATTGTGTTATTAGTTTAGTTAGATGGCGCTATTTTAGCTATATGTGCTTTGCGTTGCTAACGGGGATACAATGTGGCGGCGAAAAGTGATGTTAAAACTGGGGCTCATATTTATTTGACCAAATAGGAACTTTAAATAATGTCAAGTTGAAGTGCTTTGTGGCATATAGCAGACATACACAAGCCGTGACGATGTTACTAAGTTAACAAGTGCTTTCAGCAAATCTACAACGGCGACTCGGTGATAATGTAGCCTAGCTGTTGTCTTTAGTGTGAACACTAATAACAACGATCTCTCTTAAGTATTAGCATTAAAATAAATTTAAAATACCAAAAGAAAAATGACTAATTTTGCAGAATGATCCATTTCAGAATAATGTATATTATATTATATTATATTATATTATATTATATTATATTATATTATATTATTGGATTATAATTATTGATGCATTCATGTGTTCATCATTTTAATATCACAGCTGGTAAAGGTGGAGCTCGTTTTAATTATTTTATACAGCACAGGGTAGCTTGTGACTTTCCCCCCGGATCAATAAAGTTTTATCTTATTTTCAACCTACAATAACACGTCATTATTCATTTTTTGGATTATTTTGTATTATTGATCTGAATCCGCAAAGTAATTTAGGAACAAACCTTAATGTGAAACTTTATTGTTTATTCTTTACTGTTCTTTTCATACTCTCAGTCACTGTATCTGCTGTTTTGAGTAGCACTACAATTACCTTTAAGCTGTAAAAGTGACTGATGAGGATCCAAATGAATAAATAAAAATAGATAAAACTAAAGCTGTCAGATAAATGTAATGCAGTAAAAATTACAATATTTCCCTCTGAGCTGTAGTGGAATTAAACATATTAAAGTAACAGAAAATAGAAATATGCAAGCAAAGTACAAGAATCTAAAAACTGTACTTAGTACAGTATTTAAGTGAATGTACTTAGTCACATTCCCTCACTGTATTTATCTGTCACTTCTAACTAATTGTTTAGACCTTTAGCGCCTCAATCAGAGCTTGAAGTTTTTGCAGCTGATTTTATATGTGGACATTTATTGAGTTTCAACATAATTTTTACTTTTTAATTTACTTGAGTGACTCTACAATCTTTCACCTGCTCCCCGGCAACTGCAACTATACGAGTAACCTTGGTTACCGAACACTAGGTTAGGAGGAAGCCTCAGTTGTAAGTATTCATTCAGGTTGAAGTAAAAACGCTATGGGGTCATGTAGATTCCCTGAAGCTGGCTCTGAGGGCACAATGAAAAGCTTCATGGGAAGATTAACTAACTTTGATGTCAGATCCAAAAATACGAAAGTGGGCGGTCGTCATCTAAACCAGTCTGACAGGAGCTCAGCACAGAAATCCTTCTACACTCCATCCTCAGTCTGAGAGGTGAAGTTTAAGGACACGCAAGTGTTCAGCTAAATATAAGTGGGCTAATGGTGCAACTATCTTATAGTCTGCAGTATTTATTTGACAAAGCATAGAGAAAGTACAGAAGGACATGCAATAAGGCCAGATTCAAAGCCACCAGTCTCCCATATATATGAATTTTGGAGAGTTCAAAAAGTTTCAAAGCTGGTTGGTGGTTGGCAGCGCACAAAAACAAAATTTACTAGCTCTTTTGTGTTGTTTGATAGTTTTCCCACCCTGCTCTCCACCCAACCTGCAGCCCAAAACACACACACACACACACACACACACACACACACACAGAGCCTGCAGCTTCACATCAGACGTTTCTCTGAGTTTTGTTCCAACACGGCCTCTGTCAGTTCCAACACGCCAGCCAGGCCGGAGGCAACATGACTGCACAAAGCAAACCACAGTGAAAGTATGCATGACGCTTGGTACGAACCCTGGCACCAAACACGAAAACACAGACGAGAGCCGGGCAATGATCCTCAGCCAAGATATGAATCAATCTGTTCAAACACAGAGTGCTCGCTGAGGTATCACCACAGCATCCTGGTGATAACACTGCAGCACTTTGATTCATTCCCTCAGTCTAACTTTCTCCATCTTTCTCGAAGAAAAAGTCATCCGCAAAGTCATCCTGTGTTTCAAACCTGCCAACTTTTAGAACTTCAGATACACCACTGAAATCAGAGATTTTGTGAAATGAACTCAAACTCCTGTGTTGTGTGCAAGAATGGTGCCTTTCAGATAATGTTCATAGTCAAGACCCCCGCAAGAATGTGGAACATCTAAACCATCAGCCCGGAGCTAACTGCTGTAAACCCACACAGCAGGGTTAACCCTGAGTTTCAGGACATATCCGCAATCAAAAATAATTAATAAAAAGCTGAGGAACATTTGACTGTAAAAACTCAACAAATAGTAGGAAGCTATGAGAGGACATTAATCCTGGGCTTGACGTATTTTAAGCCCTTTGTTAATGTAAAGCTAATAGCTCAGTCAATCTCATTGAAGTTTGCTTGGGGCTCCAGCTCATCCTCTGCAAGAAGTGAAATGTGAATAAACTTTACATTTACTCAAGTACTTGAGTATTTCCATTTTACTTTATAGGCTACTACTACTCAACTACACATCAGAGGGAAAATGTACTTTTCACTCTACTACATTTGATAACTACTGTTCAGATATAGTATAGTATACAAAATATAAATCAATGGATAGATCATGATGTTTTTTTTAAGGATTGATCTACCTGCCTGTAAATAAAGTAGTTAAAATTACCTCCACCATTACCAGCTGCAGCATTAGTGACACTAATTAATGATACAAATAGTGATGAACATAAATGCATCAGCAATATGATCCAATAATATAGGATTTAATAATCTGAATAGGAATCTATTGAAAAATGAATGCTTTTACTTTTGGTACTTTAAGTTTATTTTGATTCTAATACTTTAATAAAGATTTGAAAGCAGGACTATCACTTACTTTGACCAGAGTATTTCTACACTGTAGTATTACTATAGGCCTACTTTTACTTGCATAAAAGATCTAAAAACTTCTTTCACCTCCAGTCTTCTGCACTCCACCATTAATAGAAATATATACTTACCAGTATAATAAGTGTATGTGCATTATGTAATTATCTAATTTATTTTTATTCAAATCTAAATATTTCTACATTTATTCTGTATGTAGTGTGTTCAAGATCAAAACTTACATTTCATTGTGCAACAGAATAAATTAATCTTAGCTGTGCTAAAAGTGCGAATAAAGTTTGCAACGTAGGTTTAGCTGAAAGTTTAGTTGGTTAATCTAAGCTAACGCTGCTGTTTAGCTGGCAAAACTGATTTAAGGTTGGCTAATAGGTCAATAGCAGATGGAGCAATCTGGTTCAAGTTAGCTAACAGTTAGGTTTAACTGTTTAACGGTTTGGGTTTAGCTAATGAATTAGCAGCTAAACAGCCTGGTTCAGGTTAGCGAATGGATTAAGATTAGCTTTTTAAACAGTTTGGGTTTAGCTAATGAATATAATTAGCTGCTAAACAGCCTGGTTCAAGTTAGCTAACACTTAAACTGTTTAAACAGGTTGGGTTTAGCTAATGAATATAATTAGCCGCTAAACAGCCTGGTTCAAGTTAGCTAGCAGTTTAACTTTAACTGTTTTAGCTCACTGATAGAATTAGAGGTTAAACAGCCTGGTTCAGGTTATCTAATAGTTTAACTATTTAAACAGCGTGGGCTTAGCAAATGAATCAAATTAGTAGCTTAACAGCCTGGTTCAGGTTAGCTACCAGTTAAGGCTAAACAGTCTGGTTTAGGTAAGCTAACCGTTCAAGTTAAACTGTTTGAACAGTTTGGGTTTAACAAAAGAATAAAAATTATCAGCTAAACAGCCTGGTTCAGGTTAGCTAACAGTTAAGTTTAACTGATTAAATGGTTTGGGTTTGGCTTATTAATAGAATTAACTCTGCTAGTTCAAATTCAATGACTGGAACAGGTTATTTGCATTTTAATGCCCACTTCACTTTACCAGCCTGTAAACTGATCTCAGTGTTATTAGCGTAGCCTACATGAACGTCTGTCCTGTAAAGCATCACACCTCAAACAGCACGGCGAGCGCTGTGATTCTGCCTCCAGCCTTGATGGTTTCATCTAAAGAGCCAAAGCGATGGGCCTCATAACAGTAGATCTGCATCTGTGGGAATAAAACACAATCATGGTAAGTCCAGTGAGGTGCTAACAGGAGCTACACCGTGTTTTCAACCTGCCATCTTTTTCTTTTCGTCATATGTCTGTAAAAGCACCAGATCTTTCTGTAACACAGGTGGACAAAAGGAACAAAACCAGTGTTTGGTGAGTGTTGTTGCCATTTCGTCTTGTGACATTAATGAAAGTTAAAATGGAAGCTACAGTACATATAATTATTGTCAAAAACAAAATCTTTGTACGTAATGCTGCACAATAATTGAATCTTAATAACACTTTTAAAACATTCGGTAAGTTGTAGAAAATATACTCATGTCTAAATACAGTATATACAGCGTGTAGGATTTATATAGACAGTGACAGTTCATGATGATACATGTTAGAAACTGTGCATTTTAACTGTAAAAACAATCTATAATGTGCATTGAGTTATATGTCACTGAGTCAGTTCAAACCACAGAACTACAGATGCTCCATCCATCAATAACAGAAACATGGGTAAATAATAGTAAAAGGGAAATAAATCATTCCACTAAGACACAGATTTTATTGTTTTTTAATATTTAAACATGATGAAATGAAGCTGTGGCGAGACAATTAATGACAATATTGTTCTTTTCACAGGTTGTAGTTGAGAGTAACATAAAGGTAATTTGTTTTTCCTAATGTGTTGCGCCGGCTACGAAAAAATTAACTCAGCAGGTAGGACATCCCTGAGCTCAATATTTGGCATATACGATGAGTCATCGCACCTCCAGAGGATATTTGACTCCATCCAGACCGTGCTCAGAGCCCTCTGAGGAGGCGTTGCAGCGCCCCCAGTGGAAGGTGATACGTCCCACCTTGAACTTTGACCTGAGACCACCTCCGCTGACGTAGTACTCTCCATCCACATTGACCGCCACTAAGAAAAACACAAACATGAGCAAATAAATGTATGACTCTAAATGTGCTGTATTTTATTTCAATCATGTGAGAACAAACTCAGCCTTGTCGCTAGTAGAAGTTTGCATTTTTGCAAACCACAAATACATTTGTGCATATTGCACATATCATGTCAAAGTTTCTAAAGTGACTGTCTGTTTCTGTATTTGTTCAACCAACTAAATTATTTGTATCCGCATCTACACTCAGAATGGGCAGAGTTTAAGAAGGAAGTGGATGGAATTTAAATCAAAAGTGGGTGGGACCCATCCAGAAAATGTTATTTTAAGCCTGATATTGATATGGTTTGATCAGAAGTTGCTTTATTTATTATTCACTGGAAAACTATTTACAGAACAACCTCAGAATTAAGCTTCAGATTTTTTGGACCCCAGTTCATCACAAGTACAGATACTGACACATTATACTCGTATGTCTGACGAGGCTGGAACTCGTCTGACAAACTGGTGTTTTTAGGTGTTTGTACCATTGCTTTTAGAGGTTAAGCTTAATCTCTAAAAGCAATGGCCGTTCACAAATGGCCTCATGTGACTAACGACTTCAATGACCACCGTTGCAGCAGGAGTTTCAACGACCGTCGTTGACACACCTTTGGAGCACTAACAAACCAATGACATCATTGGCCTTGTGAAGACCTCCTCAGAGGTTAAATACCATGGTTTTTCCACACCAGTTTGTCAGACTAGTTCCAGCCTAGTCAGACAAGCATGAACTGATGAAGCCTCTTGGATAAGAGGTGAAACGTCTTCTAAGACAAAACTAAGTCCAGTTGCGTTCGATTCAATTGCCTTGAGATATACTCGTATGATACTTGCACAGTATCTGTACCGGATACTGGTTTCATCCGAGTATTCAGTTCAGATCTAGTACCCATTATACTACATGTGAGTGTCCTGATAGAAGTATCTGATTAGAGGTACAGCACAAGTGCCTTTTGTGCCTGAACCTAGACGCATGTTTACTATAGCGCTGCTGAAACATAAAGTTTCAACGTAACATATTTGTGGTTTGCAGAAATGTAAAACGTCAGCATTTTTACTGCTGATTTCGTTGAACAAACTTTACCACCCAGATCAAATCTGTCTCCTGCTTTTAAGGCTTTGAAGACGACACAGCCTGACCTCTTATTGAAATAATGGATTATAAATGTACAGAAGATCAAAAGATGAGGGCTCGTACACCACACAGTACTCCACTAACACCTTTATTGGAGCATCAAACAATGATTCAGTCAACAAGGGGATCTTCTTCAGGTCGGTCTTTGTTTGACCTGACAAAAGGTCCCCTCGAAACGTTCTTTGATCATCCGATCGGTGGAACATTTCATAGTCCTTTCATCTCCTGTACTATAATGTACATCCAGCCCACCACATTAAAACAAAATGGTTATGTGCCTATCTTTTGCGCAGATAATAGATATTTTTCATGTCAAGTTGCGGACAACATTTAGTTGTTGCAGAAACATCGATCTGCTGAACACTTTAAGGATTTTCTTTGCTTTCGGTAGGATTTATTCTCTCCACCTCTTTGATGTGTATGTGGTTGGCCTCATTCATGTCCTCTTTGTTTTCTGTGGTCTCAGTGTGTGTTTTATGTTCTATTATGTTTTCTTTTAACCCTGTCTAAAACCTAATATCCCCTCAAGGTAGGGCAAATATTGACTCAACTTGTCGCTGATTCACTCCTGTTGACAAGTTTGTTTGCCTCGTCTCAAAAGACACAAACAGATCCATACGCTCCATCCATCACCTCTTCCTCTAAAACTGAAATCTTCCATTTGTGGAGTGTAAACCTTACAGGCCAGAGCTTTGAAAGAGTGTGTATGGATGGCAGTCTGAGCCTTGAACCTACGCCGGGCCCATTTGTGGGCTGATAAAAACAGGTTTAAGTACTGTCGGCCTGAATCGTGCTCAGATTGTCCACCAAACATCTCCATTAATAAAAGCCTTTGGTGCAGCTGGCGGCCGAACAACAACCACAACAGAGTGCTTCTTATTTCGCTGAGAGTCCCGTTGCTAAGAAGCACTGGACTCGTCTGTTTGGAGCTTTTCGAAAGGCGAGGCGGGATCCCTCTTGTCTACAATTTCACTTAACAATTACCTTGAATGCACACTGTAGGTTATTGTGTGTCACACCACTTAGAGAGAGGAAATATATAAAAGGCTCTCGATCCTGTCAAATGAGAAACTGGTAACTGTATCCTTTACAACAGGACACCACTGTATGAGAAAAGGCCCCATCGCTCAGTGTCTCTCTGGGACAAACTGTCATTAGAAAAACAGGAGGTCGACACAGGAGGGACAAAGGGGGAGGGAAGGAAGTAAGGAAACTTTTCTAAAAGACATTGTCACTTAATAAGAAACAGCTTTAGGAACGGCTGTAAGCGCCTTCAATATCATAGAAATGATTCTGACTCAGACTGTTTCAATGAGACAAAGTTTAAACCAATTTTTAAAATGTTACTGTCTCTTTAACTGTTAATTAGTTGAAATAAATCATGCTAAAAATACAATTTTAGGATGTGAAAGATTTATCCAAATCCTAAAATCCTCTGTACAATGACAAACAGGCTGAGCTCTGCAACGCCAATAAATGAATGAATGAATAAATCAATACTAGACAAGTGGAGTGCAGAGACCAGGTGCACAAATCACCTTAAGTTTTTTCGTATGTATGTAAGTATGATACTTAGAGATGAATTTCTCCTTAATTGAGGGACTTAAACAGTTGCACTGAATCCCTTAAAAGGTTTCCTTAGTTAAGGAAAAATATTAACTAATTTACTGTGTTGAAAGAGATTTTACACTTCTGCAGGAATACAATCATAAAAAGCACAAACTACAAAGTAAATTTGATCCTCAAATACAGAAAAACGATTATAGGACGGGGCAACGTAAATTAATTCAGACAAATCAAAGTGTAAAATCAAGAGTGTATCCATGGGTTCTCCTGGCCTCTTCTCATGTTGTGTTTTCTTTTCGTGTTTGTTTTATCACCATAAACTCAGTCATGTTGCAGTTAAGAGAGTCAGAGGTACCTTAAGTTTTTTATTTATTTATTTTTTTAAACTTTGCTTTGGTTGCTAAGTTCTTTTGTGCAACAATCTAGGGATTACTTTAGTATAAGAGCTGACAAGGAGAAAACAATTCATTCTTAAGTGGACATTTTTAAGGAAACCTTAAAGAGAACACTTAAGGGTGTTTTGTGCAATCGACTTTATTTGAGGAAACCTTAAGTTGGACTTTAAGTAAAGATATTAACTTAAGGTGTTTTGTGCAACTGGCCCCAGATCTTGCAGCCACTTTAAACAATTCTTATAATTACAGCAGATGCACAGCAGCACGTTTCAGAAGCGTCCCAGAAGATGATACAAATGTGTGCCTCATCTATTTTTGATGGAGCTGCAATGCGTTGCACAAAGCAGATCAATTTCCCCAGCTAACAGGCGCTGTGTGTAAAATATAGACACAATTTAAGGGGATAAATTTATTTTCAATAACTGAAACACAGCAACAAATCTTGGATCTGTGTTGCTCATAACTGAAGTTTTAACGGTATTAACTTTGTCTGTAGGCTACAGCACAACAAAGTAGGAAATAAACACAATGAAAACTGAAGAAAAAGACACCATTTAATTACACAGCCTGCTTAAAATGACCAAATCAACTAAATTGGCAAGTCTAAAAAATTGGGCAGGCAAAACATCTGGAACCCTCTGGAACACTAAAGTCAAGAGGAGCTGCAGTTTAATTAAAATATTGATAATATAATTTAAGAACAATCCAGAGGACCTTCAGCTCAGCGACCACAGTCACAGTCTCTTCCTCACACATGCAGGTGATTGTCCTTACCCGTCTTGCCATCATTCTTGATGATCGTCCTGTCGGTCGTCAGACTGTCCCAGCCCTCAAACCTCAGTTTCTGGTACTGCAGCTTTACCTGAGCCAGGTTCTCCTCGATGTTGATGGGAGACTGCTTGGCGTTGCTGCAGGAGGGAAACTTCTTGGCCCAGTTGTTTTGATTTAAAGTTCCTGGAGGGCAGACAGAAACAAGTTCAGCAGGTGACTCTTAAGTCTCACATGTTGGGAGTTTCCTAAAAGGACCTGACTGTAGCAACAAGGAAGAGTTTTGACAACAGCTTTCTGCTCACAACCACATTACCACATGATTTTCATAGAAAGCAGACTGTAGTCACAAAACAAAAACATCAGCGTGGTCCTTTAATGTGCCGCACACTGACTGCCAGAATATTCCGCTCTGATGTTTTAGTACATAGTCATGAGTTTTTTAACCTTCAGTGATCCTTGACCTTGTTTTTAGGTCCCCAAATTCTCACAGCCTCAACAAGGTGTCAGTTCAAGTTGGGTAAAATGCAATTATGTAATTTCAAGGGCATGGAGGAACCCTAAATGGGTGAGACAATTATATGCCAGCTGTCTGCTTCTTTGACTCCCCAGGTGCATAATTACCATCCATTTTATATCCTCTGAGCACCAAACACGGATCGCTGATACACAAGTTAATCACTGGCAGGAGTCATTTAAACTGCAGCATTATCAGTGAACATGTTTGATATGAACCAGTGTGTTCCAACTGTTTTTAAACACATCTGGTCGAGTGTTATCTAATGTACCAGACTGGAGAATGATCCATCAGTTGCTTTATAAACTGGGTCTGTAGTTGATTCGATACTGAACTGTGTCACTGTGAATCAATCAGGTTATCACTGTGTTGCTGGTCAAAACATGAACATACTCAGGGAGGGCAAATCTGAAACTTGTGTGTGCACCAGGACAAACGTCTAACTGGCACATGGTCCTTATCGCTCCATGAACTCTGTGTTTTACTGAACATGTTCTGGTTAAAGGGTTAATACTGAAACGACAGAGTACAGAGTCAAAATACTGTGTTTTTGTTTGTTTTTAAAAAACAAATGCATATACACTCAACCACTGGGCGAATTGGCCGATGAATAAAATTGCAATATTTAGTCTTTATCACAGTACACAATATATATATCTCAATATTTTGAAACTAAAGTACTGAAGACTCCTAAAATGCTAAACTACTATGTAAAGTACTGTTAGTTAGATAAAGTACTGTCATAATAAAGTTGATTAAGGAATTGTTATAATAAAGTTAAATAATGTAATGTAATAAAGTTAAATGAAGTAGTCTTATTATAAAGTTAAAAGTTAAATGAAGTAGTGCTATAATAAAGTTAAATAAAGTAGTGTTATTATAGAGTAAAAGTTAAATAAAGTAGTGGTTTAAAGTTAAATAAAGACGGGTTATCATAAAGTTAAAGTTAAATAAAGTAGTGTTGTCATAAAGGTGAATTTAGCAGTGTTATTATAAAGTTAAATAAGTACAGTGATAATAAAGTTAAAGTTATATAAAGTAGTGGTTTAAAGTTAAATAAAGATGTGTTATTATAGAGTAAAAGATAACTGAAGTACTGTTATAATAAAGTTAAATAAAGAAGGGTTATCACAAAGTTAAAGTTACTTAAAGTAGTGTTGTCATAAAGGCGAATTTAGTAGTGTTATTATAAAGTTAAATAAGTACAGTGATAATAAACTTAAAGTTAAATAAAGTAGTGTTATAAAGTTAAATGAAGTAGTGCTATAATAAAGTTAAATAAAGTAGTGTTATAAAGTTAAATAAAGTAGTGGTTTAAAGTTAAATAAAGAAGGGTTATCATGAAGTTAAAGTTAAATAAAGTAGTGTTGTCATAAAGGTGAATTTAGCAGTGTTATTATAAAGTTAAATAAGTACAGTGATAATAAAGTTAAAGTTATATAAAGTAGTGTTACAATAAAGTTCAATAAAATACTGTTATTAAAAATTAAATAAAGTACTGGTATTATAAAGTTAAATGAGAAAGTGTTATAAAGAAATAAATCAAAGTTGAACCACAGGTGCTTTTAATGTGACAATTAATACACAATGTTCGCAATATAGTCACATCACACACGTGACTGTTTGGTCCAAGCTGCTGTACATCGAGTACACACCTTTACACAAACTTCATGACTTCAGTGTTATTTTTACAGAAACTGTAAAAGAGAGATGGCAAAAAACAAACTATAAATATACAGTATTATATGAACATAAGAAGCATTTAACAGTTCAGGTGTTGATGATATTCTCTGACGAACTGATGAAGTGCAGACTTCTCTCTATCTAATAACGTAATGACCACGTACAGGTGTTCTGCTCTGGCAGAGCTACAAGCTAATGAGCTAACAAGCTAATAACCTCCAGCTGTTCTGCTGCACTCTGGCTTTAATATCAGCTCACATTTTCTCTCTTTCAGCTCTCAAAAGGTCAAAGTTTAAGATTTCTCAGTGTTCAAGGAGATTTTTCTCAAATACGGCCTGAAGCGTTCGGCTAACAACCGCTGCTCAAAGGAAAGAGTTCAGCATCAGGTTTCATCTTCACCTCCAAACACAAAGAACATGCTGACATGATGGACGACATAAATACAGTATGGAAAGTGTTACAGCCAGGAATACAAATTATCCTTCACTCATTCATGTGTGCATGTGTGTGTGTGTGTGTGTGTGTGTGTCAGCTGCACCTGAACCAAACAGATTGAGTCCAGCAGCTCAGATTCACATCACACTGATCTACAGCCTCAAGCTTTTAGTTTCACATTAGTTTCACAAAAATTAATGATAGCAGCATGTGAGGTTCGACTCATGTGTCCCGCTGCTGCGACATGTGGATTTGTTCACATCTGCTCAGAGTTACTGTCTTCACTCAGTGCACGACAACGTCTCTGAGACTGACAGTCACATTTAGGAGACGAGACACAGACTGAGAGCTGATGGACTCACTCTAAGTGTCTCTGGTGAACAGCTGCAGCTGGATGACTATTGTCTAAATGAACAGAGCGCTTCCTTAATAATGCACGTACAGTCAAATATCACTTAAGGCAAAGTATGTGAATGTGCTACTTAATCATTTAGACGTCAGTGTTTTGCTGTCTGGATTATATGCAGTGTAGGCAGTCTTTAAGAATCCAGTAAGTGTTGAGTTTTTTTACCCTACAGAAGTTGTTTCAGCTGACATTGGACCAAATGTGAGTCACTACATTTACGTGTACACTAATATTCCACTGTTATTCCAAAGATGACAATATTTTGAATTTAATATGGGTCAACAACATATTCTGTTTGAATATTCCAATTTACCCCTTTATCCAAATTTAGCATTTTCCAGTTAATACCTACTAGGGTTGGGTGATATCACGACAATGTAGGACATATCAATATATTTTCCAGCAAGATACAAATTTAGACTGATTTATACCGTTTATATTGATATAGGGTCAAGTCTCTCCGCACAGCTCCACCTCGCTCACTCACTCACTCATAGTTTCTCCATCAACACTAAGAGAGACACAGAGCTGCTCCTTTGTTTAATCTGTCTGTTCATTAGTCTACAGTGTGACATCGGACTATAGCCTCGTCTCCACCAAACCCTTTCAGTCCAGCACCTGTGGAACCAGCAGTAAGCCTTCAGACATGGTACCTAGACCCTCGGTCTGTTCAGACAGTCCTCTTAAATGTGGGCGGGGTTGTTGTCACTCACTGCTCCGTCCAGCACTCGCTGTATTTCCTCATCAGCGGTGACACAGATGGAAGTCTGCACCTGGTTTATCGTCCACAGAACGAGGCTGCACGCCCACATTTTCACAACAAAATAGAACAGGCTGCAGTGAGAGTCTCTCTCCATGGGATATTTAAAAATAGCAGCTTTGTGCATTTAGTCCTTCTCAG